AAAGGACACACATCACTGCACCATGTTTAAGTACATGTAATCTTTGTTCAATCCACAACAGACAAAGTACATTTATTTATTTTCATTTAAAAAGATCAATACTACATTCATAATATATCTGAGTTAACTCCATTTCTCCAACAGCCCTATTTGACTCCTTTGGTTCTTGGGTTCTGTTGTGAGTTTTAATCCTCTTAAAACTCTCGTTCGCAGCATAGTTTGGAAAATAAGCATTCACAAACAAGGATTCATTATTATTCGAAATATAATAGGATGGATTGACATTGTAACAGGATATTTAGGGTGACTGACTATCATTGGTCGAATTTATAGTATCAGATATTTAGGGAGACTAAATATGATAGGACGGATCTATAATGTAACCGGATATTTAGGGAGACTAAATATGATAGGACGGATCTATAATGTAACCGGATATTTAGGGAGACTAAATATGATAGGACGGATCTATAATGTAACAGGATATTTAGGGTGACTGACTATCATTGGTCAAATTTATAGTATCTGATATTTAGGGTGACTGACTATCATTGGTCAAATTTATAGAATCAGATATTTAGGGTGACTGACTATCATTGGACGAATCTATGGTATAAGATATTTAGGTGACTAAATATAATAGGACGGATCTATAATGTAACCGGATATTTAGGGTGACTGAATATCATTGGACGAATCTATGGTATCAGATGTTTAGGGTGACTGACTATCATTGGACGAATCTATGGTATAAGATATTTAGGTGACTAAATATAATAGGACGGATCTATAATGTAACCGGATATTTAGGGAGACTAAATATGATAGGTCGGATCTATAATGTAACCGGATATTTAGGGTGACTGACTATCATTGGTCAAATTTACAGTATCAGATATTTAGGGTGACTGACTATCACTGGACGAATCTATGGTATCAGATATTTAGGTGACTAAATATAATAGGACGGATCTATAATGTAACCGGATATTTAGGGTGACTGAATATCATTGGTCAAATTTATAGTATCAGATATTTAGGGAGACTAAATATGATAGGACGGATCTATAATGTAACCGGATATTTAGGGTGACTGACTATCATTGGTCAAATTTATAGTATCTGATATTTAGGGTGACTGACTATCATTGGTCAAATTTATAGAATCAGATATTTAGGGTGACTGACTATCATTGGTCGAATTTATGGGATCAGATATTTAGGGTGACTGACTATCATTGGACGAATCTATGGTATCAGATGTTTAGGGTGACTGACTATCATTGGACGAATTTATAGTATCAGATATTTAGGGTGACTGACTATCATTGGACGAATCTATAGTATCAGATATTTAGGGGGACTGACTATCATTGGAAGAATCTATGGTATCAGATATTTAGGTGACGAAATATAATAGGACGGATTGACATTGTAACAGGATATTTAGGGTGACTGACTATCATTGGTCAAATTTATAGAATCAGATATTTAGGGTGACTGACTATCATTGGTCGAATTTATGGTATCAGATATTTAGGGTGACTGACTATCATTGGACGAATTTATAGTATCAGATATTTAGGGGGGCTGACTATCATTGGACGAATCTATAGTATCAGATATTTAGGGGGACTGACTATCATTGGAAGAATCTATGGTATCAGATATTTAGGTGACTAAATATAATAGGACGGATCTATAATGTAACCGGATATTTAGGGAGACTAAATATGATAGGACGGATCTATAATGTAACCGGATATTTAGGGTGACTGACTATCATTGGACGAATTTATAGTATCAGATATTTAGGTGACGAAATATAATAGGACGGATCCGTAATGCAACAGTACAGTCACACTTCGAAAATATCCTCATCACAATAAGCAATTTTAAAATATCCTTGTAACAAAGGGAGGTAATTATCAATGTTACCAAAGGTTTTCAGTAGGTGACAGAAACAGTTGTCAAACAAAAGTCATAATCAGAATTTTTGAAAGATTAGAATTGAAGCATTACTTTGATAGGAGAATCAATATATAGAAAACAGTGTGTAAAAGGCACTGGTATATCAATTCCTGACAAAGTTAAACAATAGTGAGCTATATTGATGTAAAGAAACATAGAGAACTGTACACATTATGTAAAGTAGAAAATGTAACTTTTCATAAAGTTCACACATACTTAAAAATCCTTTCTCTTCCATTGAAAACAAATCTTGGTCAGACCAACTTTCAAGGATATTTTCTAGCGTGATGTAACAGTATTTCACAATAGCATCCGGATGTTCTGGATATTGTCATAACAAAGGAAAACAAGAGTACCGCGGGGCGGAACAATATATGCCCGTCGAATGCCATATGGTGTTATAAACTTTCTTACATTGAAATAAGATCTGCATCATTCTAAGAGTGGTTAGCTGACATGCTATAAAAAATCAAATACTGAAATGAACTAAGTTTCAAAGAAATCTGCCAAAAAATGTAGAAGAAGATCTCCGGACAAAAAATCAAATACTGAAATGAACAAAGGGCAATAACTTTTCCAAAAATTGTTGAATCAAAATTCTTTTACGGGAGACACAACTTCATATCATGATTATAATGTATATCAAATTTCAAAGAGATCAGTTGAAAAATGTAGGAGGAGATTGCGGACAAACCAAAATTTACGCCGGGCGGACGGACGCACAGACGGACGGACAAACCCATACCATAATACCACCGTCAAATTTGACGGGCGTATAAAAACAAGTTACAACCAATATTGAAAATCCAATCAACTTCCTGTTCATATTAAATGCTACGCTATGTAAATTCATTACTCAAAACATTAAAAACCTACAAAAACTTCAAATCCATTGAAACCAAAAGCAGAAATTGTTTCATTATACAGAAAATAATAATAATAACACATCATCTATGTAAAGTGAGTAAAACTAACAAGTAAATGTTTTTATAATTTACCATTTTAATCCCTAAATTGTTTTTATTTCAACACTAGTAAGGCATATACAATGTATAAGTTGTCAATACTAAAGACATTACTATGAATATATTTCATGATTTTATATTGATTTCATTAGTATATATAAAACATTACACATCTGAATTAATGTCGCTGTACCTGTGACATGATAACAGTATCTAAGTAACATTATATTGTTATATCATGTAAACAATGCCTAAAATATCACTTTGTGTCAGTTTAACCTTATCACAGAATAATGTAAAATTAAATTAAACAGTGAAATATGATTGTGTGTCAACATAATCTGTATCACAGACTGAGAGTATCCAGATACCTATATTAGTATTGCATACAGGAATGAAACATATTTAATATAAAATACGAACTTCTTAGCAGCTATATAACTTCTATCACATGATTTTTTTTATACAAATATATAAAATGTAAATATAAATTTATTATATATAGATATATTCAAAATGATTAAATATAAACTTACAGCTTGAAACAAATAATTGAATTCACTGATATAAACACATCAATTTGAAAAAAATCAATAATTTGATTAAACATTGAATTCACATAATACATTGTTCAACATCATCAATTTAAACAATAGTTAATACATCTGGTCAAGCTTGGTTTTACAATAAGTATACCTTTTTACCCTTTTTACATTTGTTAACACATTTGCCAATGTGACTAATATGTGTGGCCTATAGACTTAAATAACTCCCTGAAGACTAATATGTGTGGTCTATAGACTTAAAAAAACTCCCTATAAACTATCTGTTCTGAACGAATGTAAAATACATTCTATTCTGTAGTTGTTTTTTTTGTTTCTTTATTTCTGAATCATTTATAAAGATGCACGAACTGAAAAATTTGAGAAAGATTTATATACATGTACAGTGAATTTTGTGTAATGTCACTTCTTCTCTCTATGTCTTGCAAAAAAAAGTGTCTGCTTTTTATGTTGTAATTTGACAGAAACTTAATATCACATGCTTATACTATTTACCCAACATATCATATGATATCACGTGCATGATTGAAGACTACTGCATAGCCCTAAGGGTCAATTATCACACAACTGTTAACACGTATGAACTGTAAGGTGTTATGACTGCCTATAAGACAGAGCTATAACAAATGGATGCTCTCCTCATGGCAATTATTGATTTTATATTTTTCTTGTAATTCATTCAAGATCAAAATCATATTGTTCCTTCAAGTTGGAACTGTAACCCTGAATGGTTTCGATGGATGTTAGATAGATGTCATTGAAGGATGGCACTTGGAGAAAATAGTAACCATAAAAGGTCTATGCTTATTCATGCCAACATTGTGGTTCCAATATTTGATAACAAGAGCTCTTGGAGAACAGCATAGCTCGTCTATTGGTGATATATGTTGTAAAATAGCAAATATCAATAAAAACCAATGTACAGTAAAACCTTGATATAATGCCCGCATTTCATTTGCCACTTCACTTACCGCCAACATATTTTCAGGTCCCTTAGTTATGTTTTTCTTAAGAATTCCGTATACGTTCCCTCAATTTATCACCAAACCCCTTTATAATGCCAACACTTCTTTGAACAAATGATGGCAATATATCAAAGTTTTGCTGTACCTTAACATGTAAGAGATGACCAGCCAACATGAAATAGTCAACAGCGTATTGATGGTGGTGACCGATCAAACACTGCACAAAAAAACTTGCCTAAAAACTTTAACCAAGTCCAACCAATCAGTTTTGGCCCATAAAATAATGATAATACAATTCAGAACATTGCTTACGCTCCATATAAATACTTCAACCTTATTATAGACAACAGCCTATTGATGGTGGTGATCCAACACTTCACAAAATAACTTGCCCAAAAACTTTGACCTCAAGCTTATCGAAAAACTTTAACTAAGTCCAATTAAGCTGTTTTTGGCCCCTAAAATATGAAAATATGGTCCAGCACATTGCTTACACTCGATATAAATGACTTAAACTCATAATAGACAACTGTGTATTGAGTGTGATGATCCAACACTGTCTGGAAAAAACTTGCTCAAAAACTTTAACCTCAGAAGGTGGGACGCTGACGCTGAGGTGACTACATTAGCCCCCCTATTCTCAAAATAGGCGATCTAAAAAGCATGTTCCACATGGAAGAGAACCTCCCGCCTCCAAAAAAAAATAAAAATACCCCATCCAATATGATAAGGTTGCATTCCCTTTGTTGTAAACAGTGTAAAAACATGTATAAGGGTTGAAATATAGACACTTAAAACTATATTAGGATGGTATGGCACCCACATGCTTGTAAACAAATTCTTCTAAATGTACTACTGATCATCATGGAATATACTACTATATATGTATAAACTAACTGGGTTGCTAATAAACTTTTCTAAATGTTAAAAATATGCATTTCAATTCCAAAGTACATGATGCACAAATATTCTGTGACTACACAATCACACAGGCCTTGCTTTTCTCTGCAGGTTTTGACTGAGACTGCGGACCATTTCTTTGTATCTTGGCAGGTTCCGTTTTATCCCCAGATTTAGTTTGTTGAATGAAGGGTGTCTTTTCTGGAACTGATTCTTGTGTCTTTTGGGAAGAGGAAGAAGCAGTGTTATTCTCTTTGGTCTCTGGTGTAGGAGCATGGTCACTCTCTTTGGCCTGTGGGGTTGGGACAGGATTGATCTCTTTGCTCTCTGAGGTGGGGGCTGGATTAATATCTTTGGCCTGTGGAGTTGGGGAAGGTGTTACTCTCTTTTCGTCTTTCGATTCTTTGCCAGTTTGTTCTACCTCTTTCTGATCAATTGCTTTTTCCTGCTCCTTTTCTTTTTCCTGGTCCTGATCCTGTAAATCATCTGGAAGCTGAGATGACAGTTCCTGCTTTTTCAGGTCCTCAATACTAGCAGTTGGTGTTGTAATGAAGCCAACAGTTTTTTTGCCACTTTTTTTGGGGGGAGATTTTGTCTCCTTTGGTGCTAATTCTTCTAGATTGAGCTCCTTGAGAACTTCTTTCTTTACCGCCTCGAGTGCAGCTGACTTGCCTAAGTTTGATGAACTGCGGGACATGGTGTGTCTTATTGAATCTCGTTCAACATCATCCACTTTCAAAGCTATGTGAGATAAAAAAACAACAACACATTATTAAAATAAATATTTTATCTTTCCTGCATTCATGTATGAATCTTTTTTCAAACTTTCCTTGGAGCACTTCACGTATCGTAATGTGAGATAGAAAAAAAAGGAATGATGACTAACGTATATTTTAGAATAAGAATTTCTGCATACAAGTGAGATTTTCCTTTTTTGATTTTTCTTCACATCCACATTCAAATCAATGTGAAACAGAAAAGTCAAACTGCAATATGAATTACCTGGTTTTTTTCTTTTAAAATAGGAATTTCTGCAGTGCAGGTATAAGAGACAACATTTCATCCTTCAAATTTTTCTTTTCAGAAGTAAGCATATCCTTAATTTGGCTGAATCTATATGTATACTGTATAGGAAAGTTATTGTCTGAATCGTTCATCATTTAGAATCAAGGGGGTACCTACAAGCTCATTAGATTGCCTGGGTTGTGTTCAACATTGAACTGAGCCTGAGCACTGCAATTATTTAAGCACTCACCAAGCTTGACCAAAATGTATCATTTGTATATTTTTGGAGAGGAATTGATATAATCTCTGAGCTTGTTTTCTCATTTTTTTGAAATCATCTGTATGCAATAAGCATGTTTGATTACATTGAATAAAATCCTGTTTGAACAAAACTTGATCAATATCTGGTTATTGTCAATTAATCAATGTGTGACAAACACGCAGACGGAGGGATAAACAAAAAATAATATCCCCTTTTTTCAAAAAAGTGGAACAAACGGATGAAAGTTAAAATTTACAAAAAAAAGTGTAAACACATACCTTTCACCAGCCTTTTAGCTTTCTTGATGGATTTGAATTTAAATGGATGTTTCTGCTCAATTCTCAAGCAATCCACCATGGCTTCCAGCCATGGTTGGTTGGTGACCTTATGTTTGATCTCTGTCACCTTGTCACTCAAAACTGTACACTTCATGTCCTTGGAATGCTTTTCACACAGCCAAGATGTCTTTCCACTCGGCATACGACACCTACATGGACAAAATTCAGGATTTTTATCATAAATTATGACAAGAGGCCCTGAGAACCTGTATCGCTCACCTGAATATTTAAGCAGTCATAGCAAAATATTCTCATTAAATATTATATTGCACTACAAATATTTCCCTCGCAAACTTTGTCGGCTCCATCTGTTGAAACTATCAGCCAAATAACATTATAAGATTCTATGCCTTTAGGTTTTTCTGCATAAGTTGTTTGACATATTTTCCCCTGTGACCTTATAAGTAGGTCAATGTCATTATCCTTCTCAAACTTTGTTAGCTCTATCCCAAAAGGCTACCAGCCAAATCTTATGAATCCATCCCTTTTGGTTCTTCAGAACAAATTGTTAGACATGTTGTTGACCTCTGTGACCTTTAAAGTAGGTTATTTTCATTTGCAATCTTTGGTGAGCTCTATCCCAGAAAGCCACCAGCCAAATATTATAATTTTATGCCTTTCGATTATTCAGAAGAAGTTGTTTGATGTTTTTGACATATTTGACACATGTGACCTTGAAAGTAGGTCAAGGTTATTTTCATTCTCAAACTTTGTCGGGCTCTATCTCAGGAAGCCAACAGCCAAATATGAAGGTTCTATACCTTTTAGTTCTTCAGAAGAGTCGTTTATAGAGTTTAACATATTTGACCGCTGTGACCTTGAAAGTAAGTCAAGGTCATTTTCATTCTCAAACTTTGTCTGGCACTTTTCCAGGAAGCCACCAGCCAAACATTATAATTTTATGCCTTTTGATTATTCAGAAGAAGTTGTTTGATGTTTTTGACATATTTGACACATGTGACCATGAAAGTAGGTCAAGGTCATTTTCATTCTCAAACTTTGTCGGGCTCTATCTCAGGAAGCCAACAGCCAAATATGAAGTTTCTA